GGAAAGTACCATCTGCGCAGGCAAGAGGGGTGCGAAATGATGTAAGAAAAGTGGTTTCACATGAGGCTAACTTGGTTTTGAAATATCCTTAGAATAACCTGTGACACGAGCCAATTTTGTTTATCTAAGCTTCTTTCACCCTCTAACCCTACAAACGCTAAACATAACATTTCTTGTCTTATCAGTTGACTGTGGAATTCAGGGACTAGTATTATTACAGTGTGAGTCAAAATCAGCGAGTTTGGATCGCGATTTTTTTTTTTACGAGAACGATGGCAAAGAGCTCAAGAGGAAAGCAAACTTCTCTTTCGTTTAAAATGAAGATGGAGCTTCTTACGGCTGTCGATCTGAAAGATATAGATATTGCTACATTTTGTATAAATTTCCTTCAATTTCTTGTAAATGTTTTTGTTTCGTTGATTTTTATTAAATACATGCATATATACATATCTACGTAAATAAAATGTACTCTAATAAACTTAATTTTGTTGTATATATGTTTTCTTTTCTTTTTTGCAATATCCTTTAACACGAAAAAATATTTCAGTTCCTTCAGTTTCGTGTTAAACGATTTTCACTGTATTTGGATGATGCTCTCTTGGAAAATTTGGAAGTTTGAGATTTCAATGCAGATAGTTTTATTAGTTTCGTAGGTCAAAAAACTGCTCACGGTAGATAATGATAGAGTACATATGATTAACAGGAAAAACAAAAGAGACAGCGATATGGAGGAATTAAATAGCTACATGATATAAAAAAAGTTGTGCCATAAGTTGAAGGAAAATGAAAACCTATAGAATTTAGCTTTCATAAAACTCTCAAAAGAGGTCATTCCCCCGCCCTGGTAAGTTTAGTGTTAATAAATACAACAGAGTCCTGAAAACTCGGCGCTTGATAAGCCGACAGTTCCAATAACTCGGCCTCGCAGGTCCTTCTATGTGCAATCCAAAAATTATTGCAGGTGAGAACTAATTAAAAAAAATGCCGAAAAAAAATAATGATGACTTTAACATTGAGGTCATAGTACAAACTCCTAAAATATCACATAGTGAAGGACTAAAGGCTTTCGAACCTGCCCTTCAGTATTTTGAACAATAAGGTTCATCGGTAATTGACTTAATGTTCTTTTGTCGACTTCGTGATGAAGCAGCAAAATGCAAAGTACAACATGGAAGACAACAGGACATTTCTTTGAAAAAATAATTAATTAATAAATAATTTTCATTATAGGCAGCTTTACTCCTTCATGAAGAATTTTTCTGAGGTGTGTCTGATCAGGTAAATTACTGTATTCCATTAATTTTTATTTTCATGTAGTAAATGCTCTACGCTTTCATAAAGTACCTACTTTTAAAGAGTGTTTTTTTTTAGGTATAGAAGTTTAAGTTGGCATTACTTTCCAAGACGGCAACCGATTTAACAGCTGTCAAGTGATTTATTCTCAGTTTGTGGTTTGGCAATTCATCAAAACGATCATCAAGCAATGCGTAGATTCGTCGAATGGGCCCAAAACGAGATTGCCGTTGTTCCCGATTTTCATAAGCGGATTTTGTTTAGCGATGAAGCGCACTTCTGGTTGAATGGCTACGTCAACAAACAAAACTGCCGCATTTGGAGTGAAATGAAGTGACCGCCTAATTTCACGTTTTGGACCTGTGAGTTGGCCTCCAAGATCTTGTGATTTAACACCGCTAGACTATTTTCTGTGGGGCTATGTAAAGTCATTTGTCTATGCGGATAAGCCACAAACGCTTGACCATTTGGAAGACAACATTCGCCGTGTTATTGCCGATATACGGCCACAAATGTTGGAAAAAGTCATCGAAAATTGGACGTCTAGATTGGACTACATCCGAGCCAGTCATATGCCAGAAATCATATTAAAAATGTAATGCCACAAGATTATCTTTCGAATTAAAAAAAATTCATGTCAATCGAATAATACATCGTTGTTTTATTGCAATTTCAAGTTCTATACCTCTAAAAAAACACCCTTTACTTTATTTGAGGGTGTTTGGGAAGTTTATTTTCTGTTGTATTCTCAAGCAAACAATACATACAAATGCAGTAAACTATTTTCTGGGAAACACTCGTACTCAGCGGTCGCCAAACTTTTTTACCTCAAGGACCAGTAAATTCATAATTTAATTCACGAGGACCACTAATAAAATTTAAATATATGTAGAAAAAAATCGTGATCTCTCTAAGAACACATAAAATGCATTTAGTTAATAAAATGAAACTATTAATTGTAACCAAATTCTGAAAGCTCTATTAATAAACCATAATAAAATACACACACACTAAACAAAAACTATAAAAACAAAACAATTAAAAATGCTTTAAGTAAATCAAACTTTTAGAGTTACACATTGCTAGTGTGAAGGATGTTCCTGCTTACTTGAAATAAGATTATGGATATCCTTAACAAAGGGCAAAAGTCAATCAGTTACAGTCACTCAAATACCTACTGATATGAGGTTGTAGCTCGAAAGAGCTGGGTACTCAAGTCATCCTCTAAACGATATTATGGATATTTGGATCCAATGCTACTGCAAGGCATTTATTTCAAGCTGAGATCGGTGCTGCGAATTATGGTCCCCTTTGTGGGCGGACGCGTTCAGACCACGTGGGGTTTATCTCAACGAAAACCATATGTAGCAGATCCTGCCTGTGTGTGAATCTTACGCCTGGCTTCAGCGAGTCTGCTCACTGTTGTTTTTATCTCGAATATTTTCTGTTTAAAATCTTGATCTTGGCTTCGGTGTTTTAGTAGTGCCGTGGTTTACTAAAATATTTTCAGTCTAATTTTTTAACTTATGATTTAAATTTCGTAAGATTATTAAGTTTTTGTTTTAGTTAAGTTTATTGTGTTATCATTAAAATCCAGGAAAAAGACAATCTTGAATTCCAGTATTACTTGAAGAACAACACCCACATATACAATACCAGTATCTAGTATCATATTTGTTTCAATCGGTACTGTGTTTTGATGGATGTGACAGATGAAAAGGTCTTTTCACATAAATAAGTTGTGGAGAATTAAATCAGAATTTTCATTGAATGTTCACTAAGAAAAGGGCATTCACTTTTGCCACATTTTCTGGGGACCATTACTAAGAATACCACATTTTTCTGGGAATCACCGAAATTTTCTCACGGACCACCACTTTGGCAACCTCTGCTCGTACTTATTCTTTTTTAATCCTATTCTCGCGATAACCCGGCATTTTCACAAAATCAGCCAAACTTAGGTCCACATTAAGCCGAGTTTTCTGGACTCTACTGTACTTGAACCGCTTGCCTGATTATCCCGAATTATCTCGGGTTCGTATTTTTCGCAGTTAATTATTATCCCGAGAAAACTCGGGCGAAGCAGAATTTGTCAGTACGATTTATTGTATAATGGTTTTAACTCGGCCTGGAGGAAATGAAAGACTATATTCAGATTGGCAGTTTTCCAAGTTTTGTTGGTTTCGCGGTTCTTTTGGCGGGAATGGTCACGTGCTTTCCCTATTACGGCTTTTGGATTACAAATGTATAAGGATAGTTGCATTGTTGTGTGTGTGTGTGTGTGTGAAAAGAAGTAAAATAATAAAGGTGATGCAAGATAGCGAAAGCGATGATTTTTCAGATAGTGATTATGAAGAAATGAACATCGAAGACTGATTCTTCTGTATGTAGCCTTATTGAAGACGATGTACCTTATTGAGGCGATGTACTTCTATGCTCCCGTAAAAGAGATTCCAGAGGTAAGTCAGTAAAAAAAAAAGACCAGATACCAGTGTACAGAATGTCAGTATCACTTTGTGCTGTCCCTTGTTTCAAAAACTATCAACCAAGACTAATATTTTACATTTTTCCATTTGCTCGAGATAACTCGGGATAGTAAACTAACATTAAAACTAAATGCTTTTACATTTTTTTACAAAATTAATAATTCAACTTAAAATCTACATATTTTGTTTTGTTTCGTTTCCTTGTATTTAATAACATTAAAAAATGCGATGATTTTTTGCAATTTTTTTCAAAAAAGTTTGTAAAGGAAGCGGTTAAAAAAACACTTTAAATTATTTTTTTTTATTCCTTTTATTTTTTAATATAATTTAATTGTTGAAACATGAGGCATAAATGTAATCTATATTTCTATAGCATAACGAAATCATTTGCAGTCACTTGTTAAGGGGGTGAAAAGAATATCGCCTTAAATTATTCAAATATTTGTGAACTTTTTCTATTTATTTAACCGGGTAGCCAAAAAGGCTGAAAGAAGTTGCTAATTGCCAACCCTCTTCGGTGTTCGTGGCCTTGATCTGATTCTCTCTCGCACCTGATACGGCCTAGATTCTGATTAGAGTGCTTCAGCTTTCGCTTGTGAAACTCGATTCAAAGGAGTTAATTTGTAACTATTTTGTAACTAAAACGGCTGTCATTAGAAGAAAAACACCATCTTTTCTGAGGAATTTGAGCCTATGGATCTCTAATGATAAATTAAAAAGTAATTATACCTTTGTGCGCAATACGGGAGTCAGAATGATTTTTTATACCCCAATTCTAAAGTTCCCATGCGATCTCTCACAGTTAGCGATATCATTAATAACTCGTTTTCTGTTCTGATTTGGAAATAGAAAAAATGCGCCGGTACACTCCTTTAAATCCGTTAGTAAAAGATATAACGATGTTTCAAATTTATTTTAAAGTGAGTGGTTTCTCTCTCTGTATATATATATATATATATATATATATATATATATATATATATATATATATGCATATATATACATATTTATTTTTTATATTAATATATCTTGTTCAAATTTTCAATCATTAATGAAATACTTTCTATTCATCCATTCAATTTTTAAAAATTTGTAATGGATGACATTTGATGTAAGTACAGTTTTTCAAACATTAATTTGTTAATTAAATTAAAAAAAGGAATCAATAGTAACAAAAATAATAGTTCAACAGCATATATAGAAGGAAAAATCTTTAAATGCGTCCCAGCAGTGCAATGGATAGCGCGTTGGACTTATAATCCAAGGGGCGAGGTTTCGAGTACCACCGGGGATGGTTTCTGAGAATGTGATTTCTTTCTTACTATACTATTTTTTAGAATAACTAGATTTAATGAATGAATAAACAGTAACAAAAAAAAACAAACAAATAAAAGTCCAACACCCTACTTAGAAAGGAAAATCGCTTTCTATTTTGTCACTTAACATTGTGTTTTTGTCATATGTAAAACATATTTATATTAACATATAACATTAATTATATCTATATTAACATATAACATATTTATATTAATAGTTATTATTTAATAAATGTAACTAAAATAAAATATTTCTTTGTTGGCCTAAGTAGGAAATTTTCTTTTTATATTGCTTGTTTAAAAGGAAAAAAATATTTTAGGTAATGCTTAAGAGGGACAGGATACGTTCAGAATTGTGATTTTTATAAAACGTATAAATGAACAATTTTCTTAAAAACATTTTGTCACTTGAATTAAAATATGCATATAAAATTGATTTAAAAATAAAATTACAAGACACAATATTTAACTCGGCACTTCAAGCGCGGAAAAAAAACCCGAATGGAACTTCATGCACAAGCAGTGGCGCACACAAGGGGAGGTCCTGGGGTCTGGACCTTTGATTTTTTCCGATTGATTATAATTCTAAGCATATAGTACATAAAATTTAATTAATTACTTGTTATTAATGATTAATTATATTAATTAATGCTAATTATTTATTCAAAAATTAGTTTTTTTACTGTTTTTGTTCCAAAATCGACAAAATCAAAAGGAGCATGAGACAAGATTGGTGAACTTTCGATCCCGGACCCCTCCCCTGGAAAATTCCTGTGTGCGCCACTGTACACAGGGTATTTTAAATTTGTTTTTACCGAAAAATTTACATACAAAGGTAAAAAAGAGAAAAGTAGGAAATATACAATATGTTTATTACATTTTTCACACGTAAATTTAGTTTTTCTGTTTTTTAATTAGGCATGCATTCATTTCTTGTTTTTATACATCCCCTTTAGTACGAGTGAGTGCGATGTTTACACTGGATTTAACTTTTTTTTAATTTCGTAGAAGCGTTGCTTGTGCAGGTTTCAACATTCTTGACATTCTTCTACAAATAGAAATCCAAAACAGTTCAGAAATCAGCATTTGGTTCGATGTTTTCTGTAGGTGGTTTCTGACTACTTAACAAATTGATTTGCGCATTCATCGTCGCAACGTTGAACAAGACAAAAATATTGTCATAGGCTAACGATTACATTTTATAGCCATTGAATATGATGTGGTCATTTTAGCAAGGACGATAATTGCTTCCTCAGTTAAATTATCCAGATAGATTTCAGTAGAGAAATCGAACTTGCTATTACACTCTTCATCATCCCCTCAAAGAGACTTTTCTTCAACCAAAAATACTATTGTAAAGGGTGTTTTTTTAGAGGTATAGAACTTTAAATTACAATAAAACAACGATGTATTATTCGATTGATATGAATTTTTTTTATTCGAAAGATAATCTTGTGGCATTACATTTTAAATATGATCAAGCAAGGCGTAGATTCGTCGAATGGGCCCAAAACGAGATTGCCGTTGTTCCCGATTTTCATAAGCGAATTTTGTTTAGCGATGAAGCGCACTTCTGGTTGAATGGCTACGTCAACAAACAAAACTGCCGCATTTGGAGTGAAGCTAATCCACAAGTGTATGTCGAAACACCGTTACATCCAGAAAAACTGACTGTTTGGTGCGCTTTATGGGCTGGTGGAATCATTGGTCCGTACTTCAAAAACGATGAAGGCTACAACGTTACAGTCAATGGTGATCGGTATAGAGCCATGATTACTAACTTTTTCATTCCTGAATTGAACAATCATGATGTCCAGGAGCTGTGGTTCCAACAAGGCGGCGCAACATGTCACACAGCTCGTGCCACAATCGATTTATTGAAAGACACGTTTGGTGACCGCCTAATTTCACGTTTTGGACCTGTGAATTGGCCTCCAAGATCTTGTGATTTAACACCGCTAGACTATTTTCTGTGGAGCTATGTAAAGTCATTGGTCTATGCGGATTAGCCACAAACGCTTGACCATTTGGAAGACAACATTCGCCGTGTTATTGCCGATATACAGCCACAAATGCTGGAAAAAGTCATCGAAAATTGGACGTCCAGATTGGACTACATCCGATCCAGCCGTGGCAGTCCTATGCCAGAAATCATATTTAAAATGTAATGCCACAAGATTATCTTTCGAATAAAAAATAAATTCATGTCAATCGAATAATACATTGTTGTTTTATTGCAATTTAATGTTCTATACCTCTAAAAAAAACACCCTTTACTATATCTGTTAAATACTGTATCTATTAAATTACTTAAATACCACATTTTTTCATCATAACTGCAATAATGCGCCATTGTTTAGGAAAGATTTTAAAGCGTACTCATGCATTTAAAACTGTAATGGCGATTCACGCCAGCGTATGGCATCATATGAAGCGGTATCTAAAAATATACATTTATAATTCGCCTATAAGCTAAGGCGCCTCAAATCGTACGACCTTAGAGTCAGCTACACGAGAAACTATTCATTTTCTGAAAGAGGTTGAGATCAGTGCTTCTCAAACTTTCAATTTTCGCGACCGAATTTTCAATCATAATTTTCATGGCACTCCCACCATACATCTGTATTAGATTCAATAATGAAGTACTTTGACGCTGAAGCTAAAATAAGCCTTTAGTTATAAAATGTACAAATTATCAAGATAAGTATTAAATTTTGCATATAATTTTGTAATTGACAAGCCCATGGGGCCACTAGTAATGCTGAAACTGGTTCTTAACTTAGTATTGATGAATTAATGATCAAATATTTTGCGAAAAACTGATACATTTATAAGTATATTACATCATAGGGAATGCATATTTTTTATTATCTCGGAATGCATTTTATTTTCATTCCTTTCAGTAAATCTTTAACCTTCAACTTTTCGATATCCTCGCGAACCTCTGACAGGATTATCACTTCCCCCTAGGGGGTTCAAAATTTTAAGGCTGCTTCATACCTATAAAAAAAATTTGAAATCTTTCTAAAATTTTTATAATTTTTACTCTAAATTTTTTGAGTACTTAAAATTTTTTACTAACTTATTTTAGTTTTCCATATATAATAATGTAAAAGGGTTATAAATATTTTATTGAAAATTAAACCCTTCGTGTACCCCCTAAGGTTGTTCACGCACCCCCAAATTAATTTTAATTTTTGCATGAACCCCTTCAATAGTCGACCTGCAGGGGTCCGAAGGAATCACTTTAGTACCCTATACTGTAGATTCGTTTTTAACTCACGGAACCCCTGGAACTAGAAGATGCTTTCGAGGAACCCCTAGAACTAGCAAGTGTTTTCGTGGAAGCCCATTCCATACACACACATACTTTGAAAATTATATCTCAAAACAATATTTAAAGTAGATCAACTTGTTATTCGCACTTTATGAAAAGGCAATTAAAAAAAGTATTGCATTTATTATTAAAAATTTTAATCCGATTTTTTAATATAATTTACTGATTAATAGTATAAATTTGTGATTCAATTGTTACCTATCCGTGCATTATATTTAGTAACTGGGACAAGTGCTTGCTTTTTTCACACATGCTGGCGAGGTCTAGGTCTATTGAGATTAAATGCAACCGCATGACTTATTCTGAGTTTAACTTGTTTTTATACTTTGTTTTTGTAGCCCCTTAAGTTGAGAAATATATTTCACTTATGGCATTAAAATGTTTATAGTTCTGTTAGAAATCCTGTGTATCTTATATAAATTTGCAACCTAAAATTTAGAAGCTGTTCTTGTCTAATTTAGGTTTTAATATCGAATCTGTTGATATGCTGATAAATTGTTTGATCTCCATAATTAAAGGTGTTTTTTTCCACAAATGCAAAAAGGTGCATTTTCCATTCGAAAATTATTTAGTTTTGCTAACTAACGAGTATAAAATTATCTCGTGAAACTCGAGAAAGAGTAAACAACAGATTATTCCCAATCTAGTAGGTACATATATAAAGATAAAGAGCGCACAGTTTAATATTAATTTATTATATAATAAAAGTTTAAAAAGTGTTGCATAATAAAGTTATTATACAATCAATAAAATTTTCAGTTTTAATGAATAGGATAAGCTTAAGAGTTCTGTAACTATACAAACTTCAAAGAAAACGTGAATCCATTTGCAAACAGATTTATTTATTCTCGATTTTTTTTGTGACTAGTGGAATCCTTGCGTATACCTTGTGGAACCCCAGGGTTCCGTGGAACACAGTTTGAAGACCATTGTTGTAGATGCTTTAAATCCAAATGAATATATTATGACTGGAATGTGTTGTGATGTAAACATATGACTTAAAGTATCGGTACGACAGATATTGAAATGATGGCAATACCTGCGATTAGAAGAAGGGCGTATACACAGCTGAGGAATGCGGAGAATTTGATGTCCCAGTCTAGAGGGTGGAGGGAGCAGCTGTTAGTGGCAGATGGCAGACGAGCAAACACAGAGGTCACTCCCACGAACACGGAGATGATGGCCAACACGATCACGTGGTACCTCACCTGGAAGAAAGTATGACAGAGGCATGTTTAGGGGGCTTAAGTAACAACGATAATAAAAGTAACTACTTGAGTTATTCTTTTTTCAATCTTATTTCAATATGACGGACTACATTCGGAGCTATGATTTTGAAAAACCGCATAAACATATAATTGCTTGATATTTAGTGTCTGTTGAATTAGAACATGCAGATAAAATTGTTCAAAGAAAATTATTAGAATTTAAATGCTATTTTTTGTCAAACAATGAAGAAAAATGACATATATTCAAAACATTATCATTTTATGAAAAATGCTTCTACAATAATAATATTTTGTCTTTATATAGCTAGGACACCTATATTAGAGTTGATCTATATATATAAACATTTTTATAAACATAATTTAGAAGCGGACTTATTCGTATTTTATCATATTGGAGTACAGAAATTTTAAC